GAAGTTTTTCCTTGCCTGTGTCGCCTAGTGCTTGCTCATGGTGGGAATTGTTGGGTTTCTGTAGTTAACTTCAGAGTAGGTCTGACCTGCTCTGTTTGGAAAGCTGTGAGACAACTGTTGTTGTGATGTGGCGCTATATAAATGAAATTGAATTGAATTGAATTGAATTGAATTGAATTGAATTGATAATGATAGCTGTAATAACAGCAATAAGACTACGGACAGTGGCTGTAATTGTAGCAGAGTACGAACACTGGTGGGGGGGGGTTGATCCAGATCCAGAGTCAGGAGCACCTGCAGGAGGTGATGGAGGAGAGATAGGAGGAGGAAGCACAGGACTAAGAAAAGGGAGAGAGTCCAGTCAGGGACCTCCGGGTCGTTGTTTCGTTTGTCTGTTTTTCTGCCTGAGTCTAAAACAGAGAGCGCTTTCCGTTTTAGACTCAGGCAGAAAAACAGAGAACGCTTTCCCTGCAAGGTAAAGGGTTTTCCGGGTTCTCCGGCTTCCACCCACCGTCCAAAAACCTGCATGTTAGGTTGTTGGAGATTGGGGAAATTGCCCTTAGGAGTGAAAGTGAGTGTGTGTGGTTGTTGGTCCTTGTGTGTCTCTGTGTGTCCCTGTGATGGACTGGGGACCGTCCAGGGTGTACCCCGCCTCTCGCCCGTTGACCACTGGGATAGGCTCCAGTTCCCCCCGCGACCCCATCAGGGAATAAGCGGTGTTGATAATGGATGGATGGATGGATGAATTGAATTGAAAAGGGAGAGAGTCCAGCCAGTTGTTGTTTCGTTTGTCTGTTTTTCTGCCTGAGTCTAAAACAGAGAGATGCTTTCTCTCCAGGTCCTACACGGACGAGTGGGGGCCGAAGCACTGGCCCCCGTCCCGGTTCGGCCACCTGATGAAGCTCAGGCAGGCGGCGCTGAGGGCAGCCCGGGAACGCTGGGCCGACTACATCCTGGTAACACGCCTTTCCTGGAGGGGACACAATAAACATGCTCTTATTGTGAAAATCCAGATCTAATACAGGACGCTTTCGCTTAACCCTATAAAGCCTGATCCAAGAAAAATAGGAAGAATGTTGGATTTTTTTAGTCTGGAGGCCCCTCAACAACATATGAAGAAAAAAAACAGAAATTATTTTGATCAAATTAGCCCTTTGAAGCCCGATCCAAGACTTAAACAAAACAGAAAATGACTTTTTTTGGTTCCTTATTCCTTATTTGGCCTTTTAACAAAATATGTAAAAAGAAAAAACAGAAATACATTTTGATTATAAATCATTTATTACTATGTGATAAGTCAAGATTATTTTTTGTGTAGTCTTCTGCCCCCTGTTATCAGGTGTATCTGATTGTGTACAATAGGATTTTGAGCAAAGTTTTTACCATTAAATTATGCTAAGGGTGTCAGACGCAAAACATTTCAGAAACTGTATGAATCAAATATGACACATTTGGCATTACAGGGTTAGCGTGGAATAAGTCAAAAACATATTTTGGTGTAGTCTTCTACTGGCTGTTATCAGGTATATCTGAATGTGTACAACAGGGGTTTGAGCAAAGCTTTTACCACTGAAGGATGCAAAAAGTCTCAGATCCAAAAGACTTCAGAAACCGTATCAAATATGACACATTTGGCATTATAGGGTTAAATACTTTACTGTACATCTCTGGTTAACATCACCTGCTTTTTGGTCATTTCTATTAAAGCCGTCCTCCTCTGTAACTCCTGTTTCCTTTAGTTTGTTGACAGTGACAACCTGCTGACCAACCCTCGAGTCCTGGACCTGCTGATGGCGGAGAACTTGACCCTGGTCGCCCCCATGTTGGAGTCCCGCTCCCTATACTCCAACTTCTGGTGTGGCATCACCCCCCAGGTGCGCCTAAATCCATCCATACAGGGCCCTCCACAATTAAGATGTGGTTGAGGACTTCTAAAAATTCTCAATAAAATAAAAAAAAAGAGAACACAAATGCAAAAAAAGAGAAAAATCCAACCTTTTATTTAAGTAAATTACTTTGATGGTAAAAATAAAATCACATATTTAGAAAATAAAAAAAGTGAAATCTTGTGTCGCACAATTATTTGCACCCCTGATGTTAATACTTGGGAGGACTTTGAGTTTGTGACTTTTTGTGTAGATTTTGCCACATGTTTTGGAATTTTCCCTCAAACAACATAGAACCCAAATGCAAAAAAAGAGAAAAATCTGCCTTACTTGAATGCTGTGTTCTCTTGTCTTTGCCATGTTGTCAAATGGGTAAGGGAATTAGGCCTCTGTGTCACGTCATATTTATACCCCAGGGAAAACAGGAAGTCATGAATTGCTAAATAAAAGTTCCTAGATACCCGAACCAACTTTAGCAGCCACAGAAAAATATATTTAAAGAAATTCAATTACATTTTTCAGTGGAATTGTTAGGGGTGACAATAATTGTGGGACACATGATTTAACATTTTTTATTTTCAAAATGCGTGATTTTATTTTTAGCACCAAATTAATGTACTTAAATAAAAGGTTGTATTTTTCTCTTTTTTTTTGCATTTGGGTTCTATGTTGTTTAAAAAAAAGGTGAATTTTTAAAAGTCCTCAACCACATCTTAAACACCAAATTAATGTTCTTAAATAAAAGGTTGTATTTTTCTCTTTTTTTGCATTTGGGTTCTATGTTGTTTTGAAAAAAAAGAGAATTTTTAGAAGTCCTCAACCACATCATAAACAGGGGTGCCAATAATTGTGGAGGGCACTGTCCAGTATGTCTGTCCACTCGGCTGGATTCATTGTCTGGGCCTGGAGGTATTCATCTTTGAACAGCTTTGAATCAGAATAGATAAATAAATAGATATATAAATAGATAGAACCTGGACTGACCCGTAGATCAGAGTTATAAGACTATTGTAAAAAAATGATGGAGACATGCAGTCCCAAACTGTTGGAATATATATTTCATTTGGTTTACTGACCTGCCTCTGTTCAAAGCTCAACTTAAAACGTATTTGTTCAGGATGGCTTTTTGCACGTAAAATCTCTGTATACTGGGTTATGTCACCAATGTGTTTGTCTTTGTATATTTCGATAGTTTGATCTGTTTTTATTCTGTAAAGCACTTTGGTCAGCTCCGGTTGTTGTAAAGTGCTATATAAATAAACATTGATTGATTGATTGATTGATATATTTCATTTAATATTGAAATATTGAATATATTCCCAACAACCTGATTAAGTTCGGTTTCATGTGTGGATTGTAAACTATGGATGAAATAACAAACTATACAGCTGTCTCAGAAAATTAGAATATTGTGATAAAGTTCTTTATTTTCTGTAATGCAATTAAAAATCATGAAATGTCATACATTCTGGATTCATTACAAATCAACTGAAATATCGCAAGCCTTTTATTGTTTTAATATAACTGATTATGGCGTAAAGCTGAAGAAAACTAAAAAATCCGATATTCTAATATTTTGAGATAGGATATTTGGGTTTCTTAAGCTGTAAGCCATTATCAGCCATATTAAAACAATAAAAGGCTTGCGATATTTCAGTTGATTTGTAATGAATCCAGAATGTATGACATTTCACGATTTTTAATTGCATTACAGAAAATAAAGAACTTTATCACAATATTCTAATTTTCTGAGACAGTCCTGTACAGTGCCCTCCACTATTAATCACCCCCCCCCCCCCCTTTTCTTCTCAGGGCTACTATAAGCGGACCCCGGACTACCAGCCAATCAGGGAGTGGAAGCGGTTGGGATGTTTCCCCGTTCCCATGGTGCACAGCACCTTCCTGCTGGACCTTCGGCGGGAGGCCAGCCGGGACCTGTTCTTCCACCCCCCCCACCCCGACTACAGCTGGGCCTTCGACGACATCATGGTGTTCGCCTTCTCCGCCCGCCAGGCCGGTGAGTTAGGCCCCAATCAGGAAAAACAGGAAGAATATCGGATCTTTTTTTAGTCTGGAGTCGTTATTTGGCCCCTAAACAACATGTGAAGAAAAAAACGAGAAATTGTTTTGATCAAATTAACCTTTTAAAGCCTGATCCAAGAAAAATAGGAAGAATATCAGATTTTTTTTTAGTCTGGAGTCGTTATTTGGCCCCTAAACAACATGTGAAGAAAAGAAAACTGAAATGATTTTGATCAAATTAGCGTGCAATAAGTCAAAAATATATTTTGGTGTAGTCTTCTACTGGCTGTTATCAGGTATGTATGAAAAAAACTGAAATTATTTTGATCAAATTAGCCCTTTAAAGCCCGATCCAAGAAAAATAGGAAGAATATTGGATTTTTTTTAGTCTGAAGTCTTTCTTTGGCCCCTCAACAACACATGAAGAAAATAAAACAGAAATGATTTTGATCAAATTATCCCTTTAAAGCCCGATCCAGGAATAAAACAAAACAGAAAATTACTTTTTTTTAGTTGTAAGTTGTTAAAAAAATTAAGAATGTACCTTCCATTCAGTATATTCAAAAAACATCTCAAACTATAAAGTTGGGTTATAATTTATGATATGAATAAAACATCTCCTTTTTTTTTCTTTGTGACTGATTTTTGGCCTTTTAACAAAATATGTAAAAAGAAAAAACAGAAATACAGTTTTGATATTGTTAATTTATTACTATGGGATAAGTCCAGATTATTTTTTGTGTAGTCTTCTGCTTGTTATCAGGGGTATTTGATTGTGTACAATAGGATTTTGAGCAAAGTTTTTACCATTAAATTATGCAAAAGGTGTCAGACGCAAAACATTTCAGAAACCGTATGAATCAAATATGATACATTTGGCATTATAGGGTTAGCGTGCAATAAGTCAAAAACATATTTTGGTGTAGTCTTCTACTGGCTGTTATCAGGTATATCTGAATGTGTACAACAGGGGTTTGAGCAAAGCTTTTACCACTGAATGATGC